TCATTCCCAAAGGGACACGGGGATCATTCCCAGAGAGACACTGGGATTATTCCCAGAGGGACACTGGGTTCATTCCCAGAGGGACACTGGGATCATTCCCAAAGGGGCAGGAGGATGATGATGATGATGATGATGCTGGGCACTGGGATCATTCCCAGAGGGACAGTGGGTTCATTCCCAGAGGGACAGGATGATGATGATGATGATGATGATGATGATGATGATGATGATGATGATGATGCTGGGCACTGGGATCATTCCCAGAGAACCCCCACCCACTGCCCAAGGCCGTGCCTTTGGGAATGGCTGCAGCGATTCCATGGGGGAAGTGCCAGGCTGGGGCTCCAGTCTGACACATCCAAGCCCTCCCTGCTGGAACCCAGACATGAACAGGGAGGGGACGTGCAGGAACAGGGGCTTGGGAGCAGAGAGATGACGAATTCAGGACAGGAATTGCTTCATTTCAAACAAAAACTGATCACCAGCTCCTCGGATCCGCTGGGATTTTCCTCCTGCTCCCATGGAGGGGGGAGCCAGGCCAGGCTCCATCCCCTCCCATCCCTCCCCGCAGCTCCTCCAGCCCCTGGATGTGGCTGGGAATGGCCCAGGAGCAGAGGCCAGGCACAGGGAGGGCTGATTATGGACATCACACCCCATTCGCAGGCTGTCAGCGCAGCCTCGCAGACAATTATCGGGAACAGGGAACGGGATTGGAAAAACCCGCAGGGACACCTGAGCCTGGAGAGGAGAGCGAGAAATGGAGAGAGAGAGCTCGGGGTGGGGCGGGGAAAGAGGAGCAGCCCCGGCATGGAGAACCCGGGACACGGGAAAGGTGGGATGGAGGGAAAGGGAGAGATTGGGATGGAAGGAAAGGGGAAGATTGGGATGGAGGGAAGGGGAAAGGGTGGGATGGAGGGAAAGGGAAAGGGAAAGGGAAAGGGAAAGGGAAAGGGAAAGGGAAAGGGAAAGGGAAAGGGTGGGATGGAGGGAAAGGGGAAGATTGGGATGGAGGGAAGGGGAAAGGGTGGGATGGAGGGAAAGATTGGGATAGAAGGAAAGGGAAAGAGTGGGATTGAGGCAAAGGGAAGGAATGGGATTGATGGAATGGGAAGGAATGGGATTGATGGAAAGGGAAGGAATGGGATTGATGGAAAGGGAAAGAATGGGATTGATGGAAAGGGAAGGATTGGGATTGATTGAATGGGAAGGATTTGGATTGATGGAATGGGAAGGATTTGGATTGATGGAATGGGAAGGAATGGGATTGAGGGAAAGGGAAAGGGTGGGATGGAGGGGAGGGGAAGGAATGGGATTGAGGCAAAGGGAAGGAATGGGATTGCTGGAATGGGAAGGAGTGGGATTGATGGAAAGGGAAGGAGTGGGATTGGTGGAATGGGAAGGAGTGGGATTGGTGGAATGGGAAGGATTTGGATTGATGGAATGGGAAGGAATGGGATTGGTGGAAAGGGAAGGATTGGGATTGCTGGAATGGGAAGGATTGGGATTGCTGCAAAGGAAAATCTTTGGATTGCTGCAAAGGGAAGGAACCCCTGGGAGGGTCCCCAGGAGGTCTCCAGCAGCACAAGGGGCAGGATTTGGATTTGGGGATTTGGAGCTGCTCTTGGCAGAGCTCCAAGCTGTGGCCAGGGAAATTGAAAAGCTGAGGGAGGAGAGCTCCAATCCCAACAGGGACCCACAGAAATCTGGGAGAGGCTTTGAGGAGACCCCAAGGGTGACTCCAGAGGAGACCACCCCAGGTGAACCCCACCAGCCAGCAGTGCTGGGACAGTGCAGGGAGCAGGGAATGGCTGCTCCTGATTTTTCATTCCAGGCCTTTCAGCACAGCCCCAAGAGTCTCTCGTGACCCCAAGGAGAATTTTGAGTCCAAGGCCAAAGTCCTGAAGAGCTGAGCCAGAAACAAAAGGGATCAGCAATGTCACAGCTAATGGGAGCTGAAATTGGGAATTGGGAAATCCTGGAATGGGTGGGGCTGGAAAAATCCCCTCTCATCCCATGGCAGGGACACCCTCCAGTGCCAGGGTGCTCCAAGCTGCCCTTGGACACTGCCAGGGATGGGGCAGCCCCGAATTCCCTGGGTAAAAAAAAAAAAAAACCTTTTTCCATATAGAAATAATCACATTGTCACCCATAATGATTATCTACGTAAAATTAAAATATCTAAAAAGCAACTATTACCAATCAAATCTGCTCCATGCAGCTTTTTTAGCCTTCTAAAAGTGTGAAAAATAGCAGAGTAAGAGTGAGTGTGTCAGCTGGAAAGGGTTTCTGTCTCATCACAGCCCCCCTGATCTGTGCAGCTCTTGGCACTGGAATACTGGGGGAATGGAAAAAAAAAATAAAATAAATTCCAAACATTTAAAACATGTTTGGTCTTTCTCAAGTCTTTTTCCTTCATCCTGCCTTTGTTTGCCTTGTTTAGGAAAACCAGCTGGTATTAATTGCACTTCATGCACCACCAGCATGAACAGCAGCCAGATATCAGGAATTGGAGCCTAATCCCAGGAATCCACTCAGTTGTTGGGGGAAAAAAAAAAAAAAAAAATTACATTATCACTCTGTTGAGAACGGCAGTAAAATCAGGGAGCAAAAGAAAAGGCAAGGAAGGGGCTGGAGGGGGGAGAGTGGGATAAAAATAAATTCCAATCATAGGAGGAGAAATAGAGATAATAGAGATGGAATTCCCAGAGCAGCTGTGGCTGCCCCTGGATCCCTGGAGTGTCCCAG